TTGACCCAGCAATACCACTTCTAGGTCTGTATCCCAAAGAGATCATAAAAATGGGAAAAAGACCCACATGTGCAAAAATATTTATAGCAGCTCCTTCTGTGGTGGCCAAGAATTGGAAACTAAGGGGATGCCCATAAATTGGGGAATGGCTGAACAAGTAGTGGTAAATGAATGTGCAGACTTCAGAAAAATCTATATGAACTGATGCTGAGTGAAGTCAGCAGAACCAGGAGAACACCGTACACGGTAACAGCATCATTGCGCAATGACTATCTTTCACAGACTTGGCTCTTCTCAGCAATGCAAGTATCTAAGACAACTCCAAAACACTCATGATGGAAAATGCTGTCCACATCCAGAGAAAGAACTATGGAGTCTGAATGCAGAACAAAGCATAATATTTGATTTTTTTTTCTTTTGTTGTTTTGTTTTGTTTCTTCTTTTTCACGGTTCCCCCACTGGTTCTAATACTTCCTTACAATATGACTAATGTGAAAATATGTTTAATATGAATGTTATATAGAGCCTACATCAGATTGCATGCCATTTTGGTAAGGGGGAAGGGGAGGGAAAGGAAGAAAATTGAAAACTCAAAAGCTTATGGAAGTGAATGTTGAAAACTAAAAATAAATAAACCAAAAATTTAAAAAAAAAAAAAGAAAAGAAAAATACGCAGCAATATGAGACACACATTTTTGGACAAGGCCAGTATGAAAATCTGTTTTTGTTTGATGATGCTTATTTATTACAAGCAATTGGTTTCCCCCTCCCTCCAAGAGGTAGGAGAAAAAAAAATAAAGTCTTGATTGAAAAAAAAATTTTATTTAAAAAAAAAAAGTAACATTGGGGTTATACTTACCCTTCTGAGGTGATGTCATAAATGGACAAAAACAAAAAGGGATACTGTGCTCTATACCAGAGCCCTTCGTGCCAGTGTCAGAGACATTCTGAGCTGGGAAGGTTGGTGACTTGACCTGGTATGTCAATTCTCAAAATTTTATGAAGTCAGATCAACCCAGCACTTCCAAAACACAGAGGCCCTTCACCATACCCCATACCTTGCCAGTCCAATGTATGAAAAAAGTTGTTTGTCTCAGTGCTGTTACTCTGTGGAGAGTCTGACTCTGTGGGCACACTTTCAGGGGACTGCTGGGAGGCTTCTGCCTCATACTGGGCTGTGGATCCAGGCTGTCTAGGAAGCTCAGGTTTGCCTATAATTTGTGAAAGGCCAAACAAAGGCAAAGAAATACATTAGGCTACATGTTCTGCAAGGACAGGGCCTATCCATTTACAATACTATATATATTTCAGCAGAACCTGTTACGGCAGTATGTATCTATAATAGGCACCTAGGAAACATCTTAGAATGACAGAATTATAAAACCTTGATAAAGCTTCAATTCAACTAGGGTTCTCACAACAGGAACCAACTGTTTTAAGAAAATCTAATAAATTAATATCTTGATTTACTAGAAGAAATAAATTAAGTGGTACTTTCTTAAGAAAAAAAAACACCTCTACTTTACTATGAAATAAGAAATCCTTTAGTTGAACATACACACACATACCTCTCTCTCTAAATAACATGTTACTTTACATAACTATTCTACATGAGAGGACTTTAAACATAGGTACCTTAATAAATGCTTACTGAATTGAAAAGAAAAAAAATCTTAAATCATAAATGTGAAAATAGCATGGTATAGTCAGTAAGCTCATTTTAAAAGCCTATTTTTTCCTAACCTGATGGTTGACTACAAATATCTTTTCTCTTTTTGAGCCTTTAAAGAAAGGAGATAACATTAGCGATATTTTTACTTTCTTCAATTAGATTTAAATGAACATAGTCACCCTCACTTTCCAGGAACTTGAGCAAGACTAACCCAACATGGAAATAACCCCCCAAAATCACTTGGCACTGGAATGGTTTTGTGGGAATTCAGAAGCTCTCAAATAAAACAATGGAGATCACTTGAACCAAGAGAAGATAGAAAATTGTTCACCTCCTCTTTCTACTCTTCTCCTGCCTCCCAGCTCAACTCCCAACAGGGTGACTGATTTGAAAACAAAATACGAATACTGATTTGTATAATTGTTTTCTACTTTTCTAAAAAATGATGCTATTCTAGAGCTACATCAGAACACATATAAAAACATTATTTAACTTTTGTGTAGTAAAGTATTCCAAAATTAACGAGCTAGATGATATTTTCCCACTTTTTTACATGAAAACAGAATTTTTCTCAAACCAGTTTTGAATACACGACACATTTATTCTGAAAATAAAGGAAGGATGATAGAACAAACTTAATACAAAAAGTTATTCATCCCCACCAGCCCTAGTTATAGAAAAACCAGGCAGGCAGGACAATGACAGCTCTATGCTCCACTGTGGCTACTACAGGGAAGGAGAGAATAAAATAGTCACAATGAAAGAGAATTTCTCACTGCTTGCTGTGTCTTCTAGATCCAAGGCCTAGGAAAAGTCTCCTCGAGGACCTGTTCAGAAAGTTGCTAGACTATTTAAAAACAGACTGACTCCTAGAATGGGCCTAAGCCTGACTAATCCCAAAATGGCATGACATTCCCAAGGTCCTTTGTCCCTTGTCTGTTAGCAGGTAGAGATCTGAGATCCTGAAATGGTCAACATTCCATAATATTTGTATGAGGCATGCCAATAAGTGGAAGAGCACAGTAAATTGATAAAGTCCAAATCATATTCTGGAGGTTTCTTCATCAAAAAAATAAAAATAAAAACCCAATTGACTTAATGGAGAAAGCTAAGTAAGTATGGTTACCTTTGTCAAGGAGATAAGCATTTAGAAATACAATTCCTCTGAGTATATAAGAAAACAAAGTTTGTGCTTCATCACTTCAAATACTTAGTTTTACCAAATTTAGACAAAACGTCCTGCTGCTCCTCCCGGCTGGAGAACAGAATTTTCGGATTCAGTCCCTTCATATTTGAGTTATCCCATGGTGGAGTCTCAAGACTCGGCCTGTCTCTAGGTTCCACTTCTATTTCAAGATTCACTTGAAATAAGTCAGGGTATTTCTCCTGAATGTCACAGGCATCCAGATCATACCTGAAAACATTAAGACAACAAGCACACAATCGGAATTTTAACTTCAAGAAATTCACCAACCACCTTAATATCACACTTACACTCAATAAATAATTTAAATCAAGATTGTTCCAAATAGGAGAGAAACACTTGCCCTGGCTTCCCTTTTCTCCATTTAGATCAGAAATTCTTACCCTGGTTTCCATAAATTAAAAGAAAAAAATACAACATAAATGGTTTCTTTTGGAATCCTACATATTTTACTTTGTGCATTCAAAAACATGATTCTGAGAAAGGTGGGTCTGTAGGCTGAATCACCAGACTGCCAAAGAGGTCCACGACACAAAAAAGGTTAAGAACTCCCAATTTAGGTAATCACTCAATTCTACCTGTACATTCAAATTGCTTTCAAAAATGTATACAATACTAAACAAAATAAAAGGTTTGAAGCTGTTTCCTAGAGAGAGAGGAAATGCACCTCCTGTCAATGCAGAGGTAGGAGACTATGAATGTAAAATACTGCAAAAACTATTAACCAAAGCTTACATACTGCAACGCAATGTTAGTTTTGCTGAACTGCTTTTCCCCTCTTTCTTTTGAAATTTCTGTTATGGGGGAGGGGAGACAGAGAGAGGAGGGGATGCATATATATAAAAATGAAAGTTATGTGAAAAGAGGATTTTTAGAGGAAGCCTTACTCCCTCCTTATCTTCTCCCCCATCCATATCCCCTTTTGCCTTTTATTTCTTTTCAAATTTAGAAGACATATATATATATACATATATATATGTGCATATATAGATAGATAGATATGTATATGTATTGTTCCTTCTTTAACCTATTCCCAATGAGTAGGGTTCCAGAACTACCAGTCCTCCTACCTCATCTAATTCCTCTGTGTCATTTCTTCCTCTTTCCTAGACAAGTATTACTTTTTAGAATCACATCCTACTCAGCTCTACCCCAGTCTTTCTTTCTAACTACCCAATTACTAATTACAATCTTAGACACACAGTTTATAGTTCCTCATATAAAAAGTAAACAGTCTGTCCTTACTGAATCCCTTGTAATTAGTCTTTGATGTTTCGTATGTCAAATTTTTTATTGAGTTTAGGTCTTTTTGCAATAAAATCCTGAAAGTCTGGTAATTCACTGAATGTACATTTTTTTTCATTCAGGATTATACTTAACTTGGCTGGGTATGATATTCTTGGCCACAATCCCAGTTCTTTTACTCTCCGATATATGGTGTTCCAAGACCTGCAGTCTTTTGGTGTAGCCCAGGGGTGGGGAACCTGTGGCTTCAAGGCCTCATGTGGCCCTCTAGGTCCTCAAGTGCGGCCCTTCAACTGAATTCAAATTTCACAGAAGAAATCTGGATTTGCTGCTAGGTCTTATGTGATTCTAATTGTGGCTCTGCCATATTTGAATTGCTTTTTTTTTCTTGTTTCTTGTAATATTTTCTCCCTGAGCTTGGGGTTTCAGAATTTAACTATGATATTCCTATAGGTTTTCCTCACAGGCACTCTTTCAGGTAGTGATCAGCAGATTTTTTTTTTTTTTCATTTCTACCTTCCCCTTTTGTTCTAGCGCTTCAGGACAATTAAGTGACCTGCCCAAGGTCACACAGCTAGTAAGTGTTATGTGCCTAAGGTCGGATTTGAACTCAGGTCCTCCTGAATCCAGGGCCAATGCTCTATCCACTGCACCACCTAGTTGCCCCCCACAATTTCCTTTAATTATTTCTTACATTATTGTATCAAGACTTTTTTTTTTATTGTAGCTTTCAGGTGGTACAATTATTCTTTTGTTTTCTCTTCTTGAATCATTCTCCAGATCAGTTGTTTTTCTTATGAGATGTTTCACATTCTCTTCTATTTGTTCATTCTTTATATTTTCTTTGATTATTTCCTGGTCTCTTACAACTTCGCTAGCTTTCCCTTTGCCCAATTCTAATTTTCAAGGAATCATTTTCTTCCTTAAGATTCTGGATCTCCTTTTCC